CATGATTTTGCAGAACCTCTGGTTTTGGACCGGTTTTTTTTTGTTTTGGTTTTTTTTTTTTTTTTGGATTTGGGTTAGACTACATAGGAGTATGCTGTACATAAAAGTAAAAGCTAGTGCTTTGTCTTAGTAGTTTTAAGAAATTACAACAAATTAAGTTTTCTTGTATTGAAAATAACATGATTGTATGTTTTGCATTCCTAGAAGTAGGTTAACTGTGTTTTTAAATTGTTATAACTTCACACCTTTTTGAAAATCTGCCCTACAAAATTTGTTTGGCTTAAAACGTCAAAGCCGTGGCAATTTGTTCCTTGATGTGATTGTATTTCCAATTTCTTGTTCATGTAAGATTTCAATAAAACTCAAAAATCTATTCAAAACATTACCTATTTCAAATTCAATTGTGTCCTAAAACATTATTTCATTGGTAATTCTTGCGAAAAACATTGTTTTCAAACTATAACTGCCTATGTGAGTGATCAAATTCATGCAAAATTTCTTGTGCTTTCCAACATGTAGCACTGTGGACATCAGACTGAAAACTAGGAGAAATTCCAGATAGCCCAAAGGGCACTCTTTGTTTAATTGCTGTTCAATAACTTACCAGCATCTAATTTTGAAACTTTTTTTCTTTTAAAAAAGTGTTGAAATGTATCCAAAGATTCACGGAGATCTAATTTAAACATATTCTTCTCATGTAATGTGGAGAAGGAAGCAGAGCCTACAATGGTGTTAATTTTGTTCCTTTTTATTATGTACTGTGGAGTCCCTCTAGAGGCTGTTCTGTTAGGATCCAGCCATATTGTATTATTCAGAGCACAAACACATAGGAAAATGGTTTTTATCTCGAGCATCTTAGTCTAATTTAAGATAATCTTTGGCTAGGGATGAGAATTATAAGCTAGGTGCTGTGGCACAGTAAACTAACTTCTTGCTACAAATAACACAAACATACTCTTCATATTCTGGTTATTTCTGTCTTAACATTTTAATTTGATGTTCTGCCATGATGAACAATTTGCCTTAGAATTCTCGTGCCTTGTAATAAAGGCTGTTTTAAAAAAAAAAAAAATATCTTTTGGGGGCATTACTAGCTACATTATTGGGGTATTACGTGTTGCTTTGACCCTTGTCTTGGACATTCCCAGATGTCAATTTTAACTGGCAGGTCATGACATTACTCTTCAGTTGCATCTGAGCCATTCTGTACCCCAATGAAGAACATTTGCTTCTCAAGAAAAGAGAGAAACAAACGGATTTAAACTTTCTTTAAAGAAAACTATTGCTGGACCTCTAAATATCCAAATCAAATATGTTGCTCATACTTGATTTACAGCATTCTAAACACAGACTATTGAGGAAGTTAAACTTCAGTGGTCATACTCCTCCCTTTGTCTTCTATTCCTGTCTGGTGTCTCTCAAGTGTATTATGTCAGAATGTAAGCAGAAAGATGAGCCCTCCCACGTTTTACTGTTGTGGGTCTGGTATAGAATTGCATGGTTTGAGTTTTGACCTGAATTGAAGCGAGGATGTATATCTGGTTCTCAAAAATGGGTTTGCTCCTGTGTCAGGCTCTTCCTTTCAAATTAATAGAATTGGTCACAAATAATTTAAAGTGCTTTTCAAAATTAGTGTGTTAAAGCCCTTTTTACTTTTGTTGGGTGGTGGTTGTTTTTGTTTTTTGTTTTTTGTTTTTTTTTTTTTTTTAATTTCATAAAGTTAATAGGGCCAAATCCTGTCCTCTCTGTTCCTTACTTGAGCAGTGAAGTCAGAGGGGTATTGCCTGAGTGTACGTTTCAGGCTTTTGCTTCTGGTAGGGATCTGGCTTGTCATTTTGTTTTAATACAAGGGTTTACTATCCTTATCAGTATGACTTTATAGTAATTATATAGTTTTTTGTGCCGTTGAGCAGAACCCTGTAGTCCCAATATGTATTTGCTTTTCATTAATCATTGTAAAAGGGGGTCTGGTACAAGGGAGCTTAATTGGAATAAAATTTGAAGTACTCTCCACCCTTCTTCCAGATAGCATTCGTGTACTGCACGTTTCACGTGTTAGCCCAGAAGAGGTGAAGTGCCAGTGCATGTTTATGGGGGGTGTGGGGAGGAAGCAAACCACTTCAATTAGAGTGTTTATAAAACAACTAAGGAACAAAAATGTTAAAATTGTCTTCCTTGAGAATTGTAAAGCTGCATCTTGTATCTATTTCTGCCCAAATCACTATTTATCCTAATACTTTTATTGAATGAGAAGTAAGCTATACATTTTTATAATTGAAAATTAAAATCAGTGAAAGTTTATGTTTACAAGTTATACCAAGTTCTTCGATTTACATGATTTATGGATACTCAAATTCAGCATTTAAATTTGCAGCAGTGCTTTACTGAATAAGATAATGCGTACTACAACTTATTTGAGTAGTGGTGTATATTAAACTTGAAGAACTTAACGAAATTATTGAAAAAAATTATTGAACAAAGATACTGTAGCACAGTGGAAAAATCTACCATGCCTGCTGACAGATACTGAAGGGAAGAATTTTGCACTAGCTTCTCAGCACAATTTTGATATATAGTCAAAAAAAATAAATTTAAATTTACTCTCATGCATCTGTTTTGATCGTTTCTTCAGTATAACTTGGCAAAAATCCTTTTCCAGAATATGTTGAAAATGGATTTCAACTTGCAAACCAATATTAAACTTTTGTGAGTGTCCTGCTGGCATTGGAGGAGGAGCCATGAAATGGGATTTTAATAATCATTTGATCACTCATTTATAGCAGTTGCTTAAATGTCTGTATTGATAAGGTGTTTGACTTAAAAATAAGAAGTAGGTTGCCAGAATTCCTAAAACTTGAGCAAAAGATTTTTACATTTACTGTGTTATAAATTTACTTTCACATTATTAACAAAATCAGTTTACTAAACTCAGCTTTTAATTTTACTAATTCATTAAACATAGTCTGCCTTTTTCAAAGCGTTAAAGGTTTAATTTTTTCGTAGCAATTGTTTATTTTCAGGACTCAGCTTCTGCAGTCTAATTATTAGAAAGAATGAGAACTGCATTGCTTAAACCTTTTCAAAGTAAACTCTTAAGTAGAAGATCACTGCATGATTTTGGTGACGCTATTTAAAAACCTGACCACTTTTTGTCCCCTGTGCATTTGGACATGAAGCCCATTTCTGTATTTTGTACTACACAGAAAAAAATACAGAAGGTACTCTTATTATAAGGCTAGCGGAAAAATAAGTGTGAAGTATTGAGCAAAAAGCCTTAAACCTCTTAGTAAAACATATTTGGCACGTAGACCTGTAGAGTCTAATGCAGGTGTATGTCTTTTCAGCAAGACTTAATTGTTAATCCAAAAATGATGGTGGCCCATACGTAGAACAGCGAGGACCCCATCCTACAAATCCCGTTACAAACAATCTTTGATTGTGCATGACTCGAGTTGGAGTACTTGTGTGATTAAGGATTACTTGTACCATGACGGTTTGCCAGATTGAATTCTGACATTTCACGTGAACTACTTAAGTAGATTGGAGCCTTATAGAAAGAGT